GACAGGCAGATACAAGGGAAGGCCAAAGTATATTAATCAAATATTGTGAACCATACAGTAGGCTCACAGTTAGTATCCAGCTAAGACTAGCAAAGCAAAGACAAGAAATTAAATAAAGAGTAACGAGGTATAAAGTTTGTTGTCCCTAGGTTCTGGAATGTGGTATCATAATAATCTGAAAGCTATTTCATGATGAACATGAGAGTAAGAAGTGGATGTAATTCCTAAGTATATACAAAGGTAGGAGATTACCAGATTGCGTAAAGAAAGTAAAATATAAAGGGGCACACCCCAATATATATCCAAAGAAATCCCTTAATCTAAGGGTGCTCCTCCAAGTGTAACATATTCTATAACTATAGGAAATCCTCTAATCTATAACGTACATCCTTTATGTATGTTCTAAACATTAAGGAAACTCTTCTACTTTATCTGACCATGTGCAGTTCTTCTCTCCTGCTATGTGGATCCACCATGCACTAATCCAACCTGTTGTGTATGGCCAACCTGATCTGTCTTACCACACCTATTTCTTCAAGAACATGACTTCTGTTAGACTAAATGAGAGCTCTTCCAGGTACGAATTGCGCGACTAGAGTGAAGAAAATTTGGTGGCCATGACAGACTACTAGGGGCTCTGAATGGGACTGGATGACCATACCAGTATGTAGTCTATCCTGGGTGGTAAAAGTAGAGGAGGCCATCTTTGGGTACGACAACAGGCTTGATATGGTGAAATAAGACTTATAACAGAGAGGGTAGGGGACAGATAAGGATAAACAAGAAGAAACTGTAAAGGTGGCAGGTCACTATAAAGAATAGTAAGAAACTGCTAAGAATAGGGAAGGACTATAAAAGACTGTTAGGAACTGCCAGGGAACTATGAGTTACTGCCTGGAATTACTATGAGACAGTAAGGAACTAGTATGGGTGACCATGGGGGACTATGGGGGGCTGTGGAGGACAATTGAGGATTATGGAAAGTGGCAGGAACTACAGAGGACTACAGGAGATTATGGGAGACTATAGGAGATTCTTGAGAGACTGGGGAGACTGCTAGAGAACTATAGAGGACTATTATTTTGTCTTTAGAATTTTATGCAACCAGACTACAGTTTCCAGTAGTCTATTTAGTCTTATTCAATCCTCTTCCTCTTCTACTTCCACTAACATATTGGGTACTTCTCAGAGATTGTGGAACTGGGAAAAGCAAAAGTCCTTATAAAGATAAAGTTGACAACAGAGACACTAATAGGATAATTGTCTTATTTTATTCTGGTAAGAGGCTTGAGGATAGATAAGAAGATGAGTACAAACTTCAAAAGATAAAAGTAGAGATTTGAGATAATAATAGAAAACATATAATTTTTCTTTCCCAGTATAATAAAGAATATGTTTTCCTACTTGTTTTTGACAAAGTGGTAGCTCATAGTACTTGGAAACAGAACCATGATGTTGACACTTTTTTGCATTTTCATATGGCACAGTATCTGAATAGAAGAATCATTTAGAAGGGATATTAGAATTTGTTTCTTATTCTTCAACATGCTGAGGATAGAGTTTATGAAATTCCTCCTGTGTTAGCTTTCAAGCTAAATCTTTATGTCACTTCTATTGTAGATACTTATTGTAAGTTCAATAGTTTCCATACCGCTTATATCCAATAATGTAGGTATTAATGATAGTTGTATCTAGTAACAAGAACCAAAGAGGCATCCAATTCCTAGCAACCCTAAGCTGTATAGCGTAGTAGGTTCTACATTTATCTGTGATATCAACTCTACCTATTTTATTATTATAGTCCACTGTTAATGCAGGAACTGAGAGGTTTTTATATGTTTTGAAGCCCTATATACTTTGTATATTATCTTGGTTGTATAAGGTTCAATGAGGCCATCTGCAGTAATGAGTTTTTTGCTTATCCTCCTAACAGCTATACACCATAGTCAATAACCTTACCAGATTATTATCCTGCCACAGTATAGCAAGTACATCCCTAACTTGCACTCCTGAGAGAGCATTCCAAGGTAGCATCTTCTTCTTTTTATTCACCTTAAGCACCTTAGGAAATTCAGCAGAATTAATATGTACAGTACTACAAGCACTTATATCATATGAGCGAAGAACATGAAACAAAGAAATATTGGATATATAATTGTCACAGTATCATAAATACTGATTCTATAACCCTACCCTGATATGTTACAGTATTCAAAACCGTATTCACTTTGGAGGGTGCACTACTTTTAGTTCATATATACCTAGCTTACTCACTGAGTTACTCAGATATATAATAACAAGGATTTAGGTCTCAGGTATCAATCAACGGGCCCAAATGGTATAAATATGCTGCTAGGCAAAATGGTTCACTGGGCTTTGTAAGGATGCCATTTTGATTACTGCCCTTCTTGGAGTGGCCCCCTACAATTTATGGGATAAAACGTGTTGTACGGGAGTGAGATTCCGTGATGTACAGTACTAGTACAGCGCAGTAAGTGCCCCAACTCGGGTCCCTGCCCTTTTCTGACAAATGTCAGATCAACTACCGAAATGAGATGCAGTGTTGTCCATTTTTAAAGCAGGGATACTCGTACAAGAGACACCCGCCTAATATAAAAGGCGGCCCCGAGTATGCTGGCCTGGTAGTACGACAGAAAGCATTATTTGCACCGTCACCAAGTCTCAAGTTTTGCGCCGCATGGCTTAGAATATCGTGACCGAAAATCCAGAGCCCGATCGGGGAATTTTCATCTTCGGCTCTCAGCCTAAGATCGTGAGATTCCTTGGGAGTGGAACATATGCATTCGACCGTCTCTCGCGACGGGAAGTGACTTTTATGGTACTGTACTGTACCTGCGCGGTGGGATAGGGGCAGCGAAAATCTCAACTCTTGTGAAACACCAACGCCTGTCCTATGGACATATATTCCCGGAATTTTTCTTCGAGTTACATTGCTAAGCTATCCCCAACTACATGATGTAAAGACTGCTGCTACCAGTGCTGATCCGAACATATCACACGAGGGCCATACCACTCCCAACATTCTCTGTACCCGTGCCACCGGTTTATCCAACGCAGTATCATAAGAAATACCACATCAAGTATCGTGCTCACGAGGTCAATTGCAGAACCACTAAATCTCCCATACCCCCCCTCCCATCTACTCGACCAATCGGTATATTCTTAGCGTCGGACTGCATATCTGCGGGTACAGGACCTACCCGCGTGGCACGCTGCTGCGCCGTACAGTACTGTACTTGTCCCACAACGTTGTTTCATACTATCTTGGATGGCACATATACCGTAGCCCGACAATAGTACCTCACTTCCAGAATATCGGTATCTGTAGTCCACCTCGCTTATCTTACTTTGTCAGTCAGTCGTCAGCGAACTAAGCTCGCAATTTTTTTAATCCCTTGCCGGATCATGAAATATCACTTTCAGTGCCCCCCACACAATATTGTGCCGCTACTAGTCTAAGGGTTCCACGATGGTCACGGCACGGGTGCAGTATTTATCAGGGATCGACCGGTAGAAACCGCCTCGCTAATACCCGGCGTCAAGCGTGGTCTACTGATAATCGCAAACATAGCTTCCTGCACTTCCGCACCACTCCTGAGGAAACGGCTTCGGGCGGCGCGGTATCTCGACAGGGTGGATTCTTTGATTGGGTGGTGACTTATAGTGCTGGTTCTAGTTGTACAAGTACAGGTATTGCCGCACAAGTCCTGTTGCTCAATGTATGGGTTTCTGCGAGTTCTAACGAGATCTTAAATCTCGCCGGAATGTTTATTTACATAAGCTTTGGGTTCCAGTGGAAGGTGGGGTAACCCTACGGGAAGTGCTATGATAAAGTGTTCAGAGTCATTTGAAATAAAGTTATTTCACAACCCAACACCGAATTGGCCTTGGATGCGTACTGTACTCGAGCACTGCGCGAGCACCCTACTCAAGCGCCACAATTCCTGAAGACCAGCAAATCCCCGCAAACCAATTCCCGTCTCCTCGAGCACGCCCTTCTGCGACTTTGCTGTGACCTCTCGGCTTCGTCCGGGGTCAACCGGTCCAATTTGACCGAAACCTACCGGTACCGCATCCAGGCCCGCCTGATCGCAATAGCAATGACGGCGCGCGGGGAAGATTAGTATACTCGAAATTCACATCATATTCGACTTTGCTAGACATGAGCGCGGTATTTGGAATACCACTCGATAGCGGGAGGTTTCTATCCCGAACACGAGAAGGTTAAACCCTAGACTATGCGGGGCCGAGCTTTTCTTTTTTCTTTTCTCTCAACGCAAGGGGTGCAATTCCCAGTAGTCTACCGGTGCGGCATGACTCCCAAGGCTAGAACGATGCTGAACGTAATGCCATCGCGTTAGCCAAGTGCGTTGGGGAAGGTTTTCTTTTTTCCCATCTGGAAAACCCGATTTGGTTAAACCTTCCCACCCCGCACTTCCTCCAATCGAGAGGCAACCACTACGCCAACAACGAGAATCCATCTGATAACTATGCTGGAAGGGCAATTTCTAAGCGAAGAGGGAGTAATTGCCTTCTCCCCAACGGATGAACAGCATCAGATTCTTGCATGCTCCTAGCCTACGACAACTCTCGCAGCGTACGGTACAGTACTCGTATTGGTTAGTCCGTGCCGTACGGTACTCGCACAGTAAGCGGTCGGGACCCCGAGGGCTTACCTATGCACCACAACACCGCTTAGCATCCGAGCATTGATCGCCATCCGGCCCGAAAGAAAAGAAAAAGGAAAAAACGGGCTTTCGGCGGCCGGATTGGTGGGGGGTAATTGTCACCATGAAGCAAGGGCGGGTGACGCTTATTATCCATCATAGGGATCTAGAAATCGAATGCTGCCCCATGTCGCCAGCGCCGCTCATACCCAGGGCACAATGCGGTGAAGTAGAACTTGTCGTGCCGGTGTTTTCCATTTGTGAGATGATTAGTGTTCTTCTTGAACCCTCCTTACGCCTCCGCATATCATACTTGGTATCATAATGAAGGCACTTACTTGGACTACTCTTCCCGGTTCACTGCGTTGGAGAGGTGTGCAGTTCTTTGTGCAATTAATGATTTTCTTCTCGCCACTCAGAACGCTAATTGGTGCTTTCAAGGGATGAGAATTTACTGTTACTGCACTGTAAGGTGCTGTACCTCTTTAGCTTCACTCGCAGCTGCCCTTCCCCGACTGTCCATTGGGGGTTCCACTTCTCGAAATCAAAAGAGGATCCAGCCTGGGCCTATTTCTCACTTATTTGAATTCTTCTTCTTCCTTCTGTTCTTTTCCTTTTTATCTGCTTTCTTTCTCGGTTTTATATAGTACTCTCGTGCCTCCTCAACCACTTCTCGGAAACAGCTCCTCAGATCCCTTTGTCAGCGCAAGCCATAGATACCTCTTTATACTCCCTTACCACGTCCATACCGAGTTGTTCGATTAGTGAACGAATAACCTGATTCGATAACTTGGTGGCTTCAGAGACCTGCTGCTACTGGCCACTCCTGAACTTGAACCAGAAGGGAACTCTTTTTTTTCCCTTTCTTTCCTTTTTTTTGTGGGGAAACCCACCGCATATAAATATTGAGGGACCCGACGTCAAGAGATATAGAAGAAGGGCGGGACGCCCCCCCTCCCAAGAAAAAAAAAAATGTTCAGTCTTAAATTTTGGACATGGTTCAGTTATGGGGAAGAGCGGCCGGCGTTTTTGGAGTTTAGGAGTAGTCAGGGATTTATCGTCACGGCAATGTCCCTGGCGGTATTCACCGTGAGTATCATTCTTCCTGATGCGGGGGTTTCTCTTGAATTGGTAATTTACTAAAGGACTGGCGCACCAGGATATCTTTCTTTATGGATTGGTATATGCCCCCGCCATTTTCACAACATGACGCTGCGAATGGAGCTTACCTCTGATTAGGTTATTCCTGTATTCCCGTTCGCGTTGGAGGAACGGGCAAATGTTCCTCACGATGGTAACCTCCCAGTGCTCCTAATCACGTTTGTTGTCGATCGATTCTGATAGGTTCGCTAGATGTTCAAAAATGGATATCGGTCTTGTTGGCAGTGTACGGGGCCGGTATATTCATAGCATCTCGTAAGTATCACCCCCACCAGTTGAGGGCATATAATGTATACCTCGGCATGCACCAAACATCCACTTCTGCAAATGTCCTACCCAATGTCATTGTAACTCTCTTATCGTACCCTATCTTATCGTTGCACTCGATAAACTTTTCCCCCGCATGGACTAACATAACTGGACGCCAGCTATATGCGGGTACCTTGCAGATGTAAGCAGCAACAGACGATCATCGCTACTAATCGGTCTTTTGGCACTTTCCGCCGCAACAATTCTGCTCTGCCTAGGATCCAGTATTCCTGTCCTCATCATCGGCCGACTCCTCCAGGGAGTTTCTGCCGCGGTAATATGGACGGTCGGGTTAGCGCTCATTGTCGATACCGTGGGTAAGGATGAAGTTGCGCAGAGTATGGGGATTGTCAGGTTAGTCCAGTCAACCCCTCAGGCAAGACAAACGGTGGGAGTGGAGAAGCTGACGTTCCTCCCAAAAGTGTCGCGATGAGCGGCGGTATCTTTTTGGCACCCCTGTTGGGCGGAATTGTTTACGATAGGTGGGTTTTCTCACAAGTTGATCGTCTTGGGTAGTTGGCCTTGCTAATATAGTGTATTATAGGGGTGGATATTATGCTGGTAGGATCTTCTCATGACATCCGCCGCACTAAACTCTATTGAATCTGCAAGCTAACCAGTGAATTAATTCAGTATTTGCAATGGCTTTTGGCCTGGTAAGTCGGAGCCTAATTTAGTCTCTCTCTATCCTGGTCATTGGGCTATGCTAACTAATAATTTCCTTAACAGCTAGCAACGGACATTGTTATACGACTCATCTTAATCGAGAAAAAGATTGCGGCAAAGTATTTGCCTGAAAAATCAGAATCCGGCGAACCCGCACCGGGAACAAGCCCTAGTGAGATGTTTGGGACAGAGGAAAATGGCTCCGGGTCTCCGTCCGGGACCCCGCATACGCCAAAACCCCCCTGCGACTTGATCTCAATGCCCAAGAAGGCCCATACGCCCGGTAATGGGGAAGGGCTCGCTGGTAATAATGAGAACACCGGTGAGCAAGAGAATCTCCAGTAGTAACACATATCACTGACGAGTCACCCTTCTCCCCAGCCAACGATATCGAAGCAGGACCCATAACCCTGAAGAAGCGCAGCAGGGTGCCACCCATAATCAGAATCTTGAAGTATCCCAGACTCCTAACGGCTCTCTGGGGAATACTCGTTCAGGCGGTAATTATGACAGCGTTGGAGACGACATTGCCTCTGCGTGTCCGGGAACTCTTCAATTTCAACGCAACGGGAGCGGGGCTAATCTTCCTTGCGGTCGTTATCCCGACTTTCCTCGCCCCCATCGTTGGTAAGTGGCTCGCTTGCCTGCGTGTGCTCAGATTTGCCGCCGAATAAGGCTAACCAACAATGACAGGCTGGGCATGCGATAAATGGGGAACACGCTGGGTGCAGACAGCAGGCTTCGTTATCTGCTGCCCTTTCTTCGTCTTCTTGCGATTCCCGGACCACAACAGCGTCTCCCAGATAGTCCTGCTGTGCGCTATCCTCGCCCTGATCGGAATCGGTCTCGTCTTGATCATGCCGACTATGATGGCCGAGGTCAGTTTGTCCCTCGACGAGGTGGAGGAAAACAATCCGGGTATACTCGGTAAGAATGGGGCTTATGCGCAAGGGGTATGATAACACGCACACCTAATAGAGAGATTGGGGGATTCCCTGCAATGCGGTTACTGATTGTGATTTATTTTGCAGTATGGATTGTTCAGCGTTGCATTCTCCGCTGGCACATTGGTGGGGCCTCTGTGGTGTAAGTGAACCCCCTCAAGCGCAATCGCTCGCTGGGGCTGAAGGTGCTGACCATATCTCATAAAGCCGGATTTGTTAAGGATGCCGTGGGATGGAACGCTATGGTTTGCACAATTGGTTTGCTCCCCGCCCTCCCTGGGGCGCAGTTCTCCGCGCGATCTTGTACTGACTGGGGTCGATTCATAGGAGCGCTGAGTATCTTCACCGCTATTCCAAGTGTAAGCCCACCCACTTCTCAATTAAGCCTCTATCAGCACAACAGCTCTAACCAAGCTTTTAGGCGATTTACACTGGTGGGAAGATTAGGAAGGAGGACCTCACGTTCTGGAGGAGGTCCGGGTAGTACAGAGCACAACATGCGAGCACCTTCAGCCTCAGCCAGACTGGGAAGACAACTCATTGGTCGGCGGTGGTGTGAAGGGCAGTGCCGCATCTCGGTATCACAGTTTTTGACATTTCTGGCACGTTATAATTATTATTTTTTGTCCGCTGGTAGAGTACAGTACTAGTACAGTACCCACTGCAGACAACCCACCCCCCCCCCCGCTCTTCTCTCCCCTCCTCCCCGTTGCAGAAAAAAAAAGGTAAAAAAGTAAAAAAATAATAATAATGATCTCCGCGGCCCTCTCTTTTCATGTATCTATAGAAACTCGTCGAATTACGGTATAGACTTTTCAATATCATGATTTTTACGAATTGATGGGTAGGAAGGAAGGCGCTATCAGCGTTTCCCTATCGTACCAACCCTCACGTTCAAAGAGGACAACGGATACTAATAGCAAGTGATGACCCGTGACGCCCTCCGTTGCTGCCCGTAAAAGTATCGTACAAGTAACTTACCGGTGCCGTATGGTATTAAACTGTACCTGTACTTTGTACTATTGTGTGTGGCACCCGAAGCGCTTCAACCGCTCATTTGTCCTTCCAACCTCGAACGGAACGGTCAAGGCAGATGCAGTAGATGCTGCTGGCTACAGTAGCTGCAACAGCCACGGTCGCATCGCACACGACAGCTTTTTTTTTTTTTTTTTTTTCGGATACCGACCACCACCATCACCACCACCATCACCACGGTGCACCGCAGTCGAGGAACTTCTATCAAACAGACGCAGGTAAATTCCGAATCACCAAAATCCGGTTATATGTATCGTGGTTGATTTTTATTTTATTTTTTATACTCGTTCCTTTTTATTCTGATACTCCCCAAGCGAGTATTGTACTGTACTGTACGAGTACTGTGCGATACTGCACGTCCAGCTCATCCGTGCTACCGATTATCCTTTCACTGTTGGATAAATAGCTTGAGTGGTGGGTGGGCGGGTGGTAATTTTTATAAGTACCGTACACCCGATATCAAGTGCCCGGGTGGGAAAAAACGCAAGGATTTGTAGGATATATTGTGAAGATCCGTAGGTTGTATAATTATTCTGTCGATTTGGAAGGTGGTAGGATTCATCAAGGGTTTTTTTATTTTTATTTTTACCCCGAGTGCTTTCCGATAATAATTTGGGTATGATATGTACTGTACGGTATGTACTCTCCTTCTCGTGGTAGAGGACCAAGTTGCACTACGGTACAGGTATCTGGATGCACTTCGGGATGGTAGATGTGATGCTCTTTCTATCATTAGTTTTTTTTTTTTTTTTTTCAAAGGAAAAATAAATAAAGAAGAATGTGAATTTTCTGGGGTCCAGGCACGGCCCCCAATATTTATCGCCCGTGGTGGAGGGGGGAGAGGCTTATCGATAAGTTTGGCGGGAATTCGGCATTGGACCCACAGAAGAGCTTCTATTTTTGGTATGCAGCATTGTTCCTTTACGAGTTCCTGTGGCTTGACAGGGGATGATCGGATGAGGCCTCGGTCGCACAGAGTGATTGAGTGTCCAGAATGGACGGCAACTGCCAGCTGGCGGCTCAACTCTTCCCTCTCCCCAACCCATCGAGACAGTTAACGTAACTGCTCCCATTCCAACACCCCCGTGATGCCACCAACCCAGGGGCCGTCTGTCTGTCTGTCTGTCTGTCTGTCTGTCTGTCTCAAGTACTCGTATGCAAAAACGGGATATCCGCTCTCCCCTGTATCATACATACCGTGCTGTACTCGAGCACCGCACCTTTCTCTCTTTCCTTCCTTTTTCACTTCATCCCCTTCCTTCCATCTCCGCGCACATCTTTTCGCTGTCGTACCGTTATGGCACCACCACGCTAATCATTGACTCAGCCTGGAGCGGACAGACAGCGCGGGTAAGCAGGCGGCGCACGGAGGAGTTCTTCTGGAGCGTGCAGTTGCAGGATCTCCATACCCCCGATGCAGCTTCCGCATTAACCTGCTGGTACTACGTGCTCCGCTTTTGTAGGACCCCCCCCAGCTGATTGGCCGGCTCAGCCAATCGCTCCAGCATGGCGAGTACGGTGGTAATTTTACGGGCCCGTTGGATCCGTACCAGTAGGACACAGCCCACGGACTGCTACCGTATTTAAGCCTTTCCTTCCCTCCCTCCCTCCATGCACCCTTCTTCGGGACCCTGACCAACTTTTGCCTTTCGTTTGTCGATACCGACCTCCCCATTCCCCTCTTCCCTCCATCTATTCCGGTGCTGCGCCTTCTCCGGAATTGTATCGCTTGAGCTGCTGACTGGTATTGTTAACTTCCTGTTTTGTTTTCCTTCTTGCTGCTGTTGTTGCTCTCGCGACACTTTTTCCTTTTTCCCTCACTCTCTTTAGGCTTCGACAGGGCTGCCGACGGGGGTGCTTCTCTTTGCCCCAACTCTCAGGATTCCCTGCTGACTCCGCTTTTCAGCCCCAGTCTCGCATCAGGTCTCAGTTTCTTGAAAGTGCTCCTAAAAGATTCAGGGGAGAAGGAGGAAAAGGTTTCCCTCCCTTGTACCGAGTCTCTATCAAACGCTTCCCTACAATAAATAGCGGACCAGAAAGTGCCTTGAAATCTTGGTGCCCGAACCTCCTCTTTCACACCATTTACTTGTACAATTATTTTACCCGTACATCATCATAAACAATTATCCATCTCCACTGCCTTTTATCTCCTTCAGTTACCTTGTCCGGATCAAAATGTCCCCCACATTACCGGCATTACCCGCAGTGGTTACTGGTGCGGCGATTCTCCTGTCACTATTCCCCCTGGCGACGGCGGCTGGATGCGAGTGTGGATACATGCTCAAGCAAACCAGCACATTCTTCACTCACAAGATGCACACTGATTTCTCCGAAATCCCGGACACGACTGATGTGAACGCCGCGCTTCCGGACTGGCAGGTCCAGGCATGGGCGTTCGATACGGACTCGAGCACCGGTGTGATGGCCAGGAAGAATGAAGCGGAGAATGTGTGGATTAAGGGCGGGAAGTTGCACCTGCGGCAGAAGGGGCACAAGAAGGACGACCGCGCCCCTGTTAGCGTTGCGGAGGTACATAGCAAACGGACGGACTTCCATCATGGGAGTTTCAGGGCAAAGTACAAGGTCACCGTGGATAAGAAAGCGGACGGGGGAACTGTTGCCGGCTTCTTTTTCTATTACGTATGTTTTTCTTTGTCTACCGATGCTTCATTATGAGCTGGTTGTGATTCTAGCGGGATGTGGGAGCTGTGCTAATTGACTTGACCCAGGACGATGAGGACGAGACAGATATAGAGATCTTGACCAAAGATGGCGACAAGACCATCCGCTACACTCAGCACCCTGGTATGAAGCCCCATTTTGGTCCCCGGCCTTGCAATTGGTTTCCCCAAGCTGAATGCGTTAAACACACAAGCGTACGACAATGTCACCGACAGCACCATCCCAGACACAACCTTCCAGATGCAGGTCAAGAAGCCGTGGTCAACCATGCAAGAGCACCGCTTCGACTGGACACCAGCCAAAACGACGTTCTTCCAGGATAATTCTGCAGTGAAGGAAATGACCAAGAACGTTCCCAAGCATGTTTGTACCCGCTCCATCTCGTCTCACATAATCTCTACCCCCCACTACTACCAATTGATTGATTCTAACAATCCTCCTCCCCCGTTCAGGAAGGCAAAGTCATGATCAACCTCTGGGCCAACAACGGCACTTGGAGCGGGTACTAATTCCCTCTCCTCATTCCACCAAACATAACAGAAGCAGCGGACTGACAAAACAACTGCACCATAGCCTCCCATCAACCAAAGACGTAAAAATGGAAATGGAGTATATAATGATATACTTCAACACCAGCGCATCCCAATCCGGCAATGACACTGGCTTCAACTCAGCTTGCGAAGCGGCCGGTGGGCCAGAGAACAATACCATCTGCTGGGTCAACGACAAATCTGGCACTGACAGTGAAGACTCGAAAGTCACGTTTTCCGCTTCTTCTTCTTCTCCCGCCTACATCTTGCAGAGTCTGGTTCTTGTTGCGGGAGCAGGACTGGCGGTGTTGTTTCTGGTTTGGGCGTGATGCAATAATATAACTCCTTTTTGGACTCCCCCCCCCTTTTTTTTTCAGCTTCATCCTTATCCCCCACTCATATATTAGACGGACGGCCTTGATTACTGGGTAAAAAACAGAGAGAATACGGGGAGTAAGGGTTCTTTTTTTCTCTTTCCAGTTCTATGTATTTTAACTTGATAATGTTCTTACGAGCTTCTTGAGGAAATATGTTTTCATTCGCTTTCCGCACGATGTGACTTGACCTTAACCGAAGCGCGATTTCTCCGATCCCAGAGAAAGGTCCAGCCAGTATGGGGATGCCGGTAGTGCTTTCTGAGGTGCCTTTTTAGCTTAACTATTCGCGCATTTTGGGAAACGACTATCCTAGTTTCCCTGATGATGCTATCATACAGGCATTATTGACTTATTCCATCCACCCTACCAAACCACTACCCTACGCCACAACCGTACCCCTCACTTGGCTAAGAACAAGTCTTCCCCACGACCCGTTACACCAAGAACTACGATCGAAAGGGACAAAACAAAAAAAACAATTCGACCCCACCAGGGTCAACAAACACTCGCGCAACGCTAGGCGCTCGGGCCGCAGACGGTGACAGCGGCCGACTCGCCTCTACGAGTACTCGAACCGTACTGCAACAAGAGCAAAACAAAACTCTCGACCCTTGACCAGAGGCTAACAACGTGGCCCGGTTGGTCTAGTGGTATGATTGTCGCTTCGGGAGAAGTTCCCCCAATGAACGGAAATCTTGGTATGTGACAGGTCTCCGGTTCGATCCCGGAATCGGGCCTTGCTTTTTCACACTCCCTCTCTCTTTTTTTTTTTTATCCTTCCGTTGTTCCGAAGGATGGGCGGGGGGTGGACGTGGATCAGGGGTGATGGGTGATGACCGCCGCCGGGGAAGGGTTGCCGCACTCGTGCGTGATCGGCTTTGATATCCGTGGTTATGGTCGGGAATCTCCTGAATTGGAAATCGTTCAGGGGTTGGAGGGGGTGACGGACAGGCTACCTACCCTGGTGCTTTCGAGCAATGTACTACCCGCCGCTCGTATCCTGTAGAATGACTGTAGACCGCCTTCTTTTCACTGTACGAGTACAGTAGTTGGTATAGGTACAGGACTGTACCTTCCTTCCATGACATCTCCTATCGCCCTCTCACTACTCGTACCGGCACCCCATATCCGGCCGGACCCCCCCCCCAACTCTCAAACAGGCTGAGTAGTTAATGGGTACTTCCTTGTATGGTAAATTAAGAAACCGTGACGTATTCGTAAGTACTGCTCAGCCCTAGACTACCTGCACGAGTAGTTTAGGCTACTTTGTCTTTCCTGTAGAGTGCTGCACGGTACTAGTACTCTCCCCGAATGCTCTGCCCTGCGCCTTATCGTGCCGCCATCTATTGTACCCGTACACGTTAGAGCGGCAGGGGCTTGAGAGTGTCTTGCGGTGCCAGGACTGTACCGCACTCGAGCACGAGTACACAGAGTTCACCAACTATTCTACCGCGGGTACGGTATCATCACACTGGACTTTTCTCCTACAACTAACTAGTTTAGTACTATCCCTACCAAACCCGCTTACTCACTTTACTTACTGACCTCTATCTACCCGTAGCGACCTACCTTGCCGTGCGACAATGGAGAAATTACTCCTCCCAAAGGGGAAATATTTCTCCACTCTGTACCTGGTACAAGTATATACGCCCCCGCACTCGAATACACCACCAACCGAAAACAGGAATATATCTGACGATATCGTCATTTTCAGGTCTAACCTTTCCGCTGCTACTGTACTGTACGCACTAATTTCATGAGCCTTTCTTTCCGATGCTTATTCTCAGGTATGTACTGTAGTAGTACAGAAGTAGTGCCCATCCGGTATCGTACTGTACACCGCTCAGGCCAATGCCTGAATTTGGTGTGTCGTGGGTTGTCATGCTGTTCCTTCTATTACGGTACCGTACCTGCCTTATCATACGTACCGTATGATTACGGGTGTGGTATGGTATGGTATGGTACCTGGTTCAGTGCTGGAAACGGGAATCGATCGGACGGCAGACGGCGGAAGGTATTGTGCTATGATATCATACTGGAATTGAGGGGTTGTTTCTGGGGTTTTGATCTCTTGTCCGTGCTTGGGTGAGAGGGTGTTAAGCCGGGGCGGGGGGGGGGGCTAAGTAGAGTACGGTATGGTATGATACCATAGCTTCCAAAATATAAAGATTGGATTTTTTTTCTTTTTCTTCCGGAAACGATCTGATAAATAGTGGGAGGAAGGGAAAAAAAAAAAAAACTCACTACTCCTAGAGGAGTGCTATACCGGTGCATAGTTCGTGACACCCTCCCCGACCCATACTGACTGATACAACATCCCCACATCGGAATGTGTAAACACCCGGACAATAATGCTTTTTGTTTTTTTTTATCTTTTCTGACTCCTCCTACTGTACTGTACCTAATTCAGATTCCTTCAAGAGCTCACTACCGGAAGAGAAAAAAAATTGGATACTTCCGAAACCAACTGGTAGAAATATATATACTCCACTTGACGTGAGCAGCCAGCACGATTCGCAGGTAAGTTAATCATGGGTGAATGGAAGACACCAATCCAGGGCCCTCACTACGATACAATACAATTTCTAAGCACTGATGGTGGTAGTGGTTCTTGAGGGAGGAGAACCTAGGTATATGATACCATGATAGGAGCAATGGTGTAGTAGGTTACAGTAGAACGAGTTTAATTGGGTCTGCAATAGGTGAACTCTACTCCCTAATTATGGCCAGGAACTTTTTTAATTTTTTTAATTTTTTTTACCTCTTGCTTTTGTAGCATTGTGGCTAGAGTTCGGTTGAGGGTCATTAGGCTCGGTAGCACTGCATACAAGTACGAGGCTGGCGACAAAAATCACCGGTAGAAATCTCACATCGCAACCACAATAGCATCACTCCTCCACTGATGAAAATGACGACTACCCCACCACGAAACGATCCTTGGGGTGAATGGCATACCCCAATGCGAACCAGAGTTCTTACTTTAATGGACACTGGATTATCCCAGTCTCAAATTTCCCGAGAGACCGGAGTTCCACAACAAACGATAAGCGATTGGAAGAAGTCAAAGCAGCCTCGCCGCCAACACCACCGTCAAGGACGCCCCCGCTGTCTTTCTGAGAGTGATATCCGACGCCTAATCTTTCGTCTTCGAACCGGCTAGGAGGGGCGACGACTCTGCTGGCGCAAGTTAGAACAGGAGGTAGGGTTAAGTGCCTCTGCAACTACCATCAAGTGAGCTTTGCAAGAGAAGGGTTACTCTTGCTGCAAGGCTTGTAAAAAGCCCTTTATCAATCGGAAGAATCAGCTGAAGCGTAAAGATTATGCCGATGAACATATGCATAAGTCAGTTGAGTGGTGGTGAAAACATATGTTTTCTGATGAATGCATTTTTGACACGTCTCAGAGAGGGAGCGTTTGGGTAACTCGACTTCCAACTGAGCGCTACCATGATCACTGCATGCAGCACAGTTTCCATAGTGGGCGAGGATCCTTTATGGTATGGGGGGCTATCAGTTATGACTGGAAGTCTCCTCTCATCTTCCTTGAGGGTACAGGTCCAAAGGGAGTGATTGCTAAAGACTATTTACACCAGGTCCTCGAACCTGTTGTTGCTCCAGCTTTCATGAACCTCCTAGAGTATGAGGCTTCTATGGAGGGTCAGTATATCGAAGACCAAGCCCTGATCCATGGAACAAGTAGGATGTTGAGAGAGACCAAAAACACTCTTGGTATTCCGCTTCATCATCGACCACCCTCTTCACCCGACCTCAATCCCATCGAGAATGTTTGGTGGATCCTCAAGCTGAGGATCAAGGCACGAGATACCTTTCCTCAAAATATCCATGATTTGAGAAAGGCTGTTCAGGTAGAGTGGGATCATTTACAGCCATCTGTATGGAATAGGTACATAGATAGTATGCCTGTAAGGCTCATGCAGGTCAAGGAACGGAAAGGGATGCAAACGGAGTTTTAATGCTTTTTTTTATTCCTATTCATCTTCTCTAATATGTTTCATTTTTTTAAATTTTCCTACTGCTTCTCTTGTTGAGCAATTGTTGTTGTGTTGAAATAGTTGATCGTTCGTTCATTCGATTTGTGGTTGCTACTGGTGATTTTTGTCGCCAGCCTCGTACTGTAAAAACTTTTGCGATTTGCCATCTTAGGACTTGGTGGCGTATGGCAAAAACTGCCAGTGAGGTCTTGGCTTACTACCCTATTGAGTGAGTGATTAGCAATAACAAATAAACTGTATGAGCACTCAGGGAGACGCGGCATGTCTTGGTATTTTAGTATCCCATGGACCAATGAGACATGCAGATTGTCGACCTTCAAATCCAGGCAGTAGTAGCCAGTGGAGTGGGTATGAAATTTATTATTAATTACTCACATGATATCAGATAGCAATCAAGACTATTCTGTAAAAACTTATACTAATACAGTATGAAAATCAAAGAAAACAATTTCATTGTTTGCACAAAGGTACTAATTCACAAACTATACACCAGGTTCTAGTCTTACTAATTCTCATATGATGCAGAATCTCAAATCATTGCTGAATTGGTGGTGGAGGGTCCTTGGGATCACCATGGACTTCTTTGTATCAACAGCACCTGTACTGCTGGTTCTTGTTTTGTTGAGATAGTTGTTGGTGGTAACCCATAGTCCAGAATTGGAAGGAAGGAAGTACTGATTTTACTGTCACATAGAAGTGAATGTCTGGTCAAGCTTGCTGAATAAGAGGATAGAGTTTCAATACACTACTCTGTACAAGAGCAAGTATGAGGTTACAGTGAAAGGTCTTGTTGTAATGTGTTCAAACTGGAGTGATAGTCATGCTTCTGGATACAATTAGAGTAGGACATAAGTTGATCTACAACTTGTAGGTGTACTGCACTAAGGGAGGCTCTAAGAGAAAGATATAAAGAATAGGGACTTGAAGAGGTAACTATTCAACCAAGTATATTAAAATATTGTTCCTCCAAGTCTGCTGTTCTATCAAGGAAATCAGTAGTCTTTAAATATATAATTCTATCCTTGTTTTGCATGGCCTATTTCCTAAGAGTTCCTCCATCAAGGAGATACTTCAATCAACTAGAGTATCAAAGGATACTTGAAACTACAAATAAAACAAACTGAGTGTCAAAGAATATTTAACATTTTAAGTAAAACAAACTGAATGTAAAGGATACTTGAAACTATAGGTAAAACAAACTGAGTATAAAGGATACTTAAAACTATAGATAAAACAAACTGGGTATCAGGGTTACTCGAAACCACCAATAAAACAAAACATAAAACAAAACTACAAATCAGATTCCAGTTCTGGTTACACTTGTACTTGATTAGTTAAGTGGTAAGAGCGAATACATAATAAGGTATGTATTTGTAATTGTGGTATCCAGTATGACCCAAAACTATAATAGTAGCTAGTTCCTCCTACTCTTTTGGTGATATGGGTAGTTACTATAAAGCTGACTTGAAATATTGACTTGATCTATATACTGATTGTAGTCATCAACTAATACTGAAATAGAAATCAGTTTTTGATACTTATTATCAATAAAAAGCTTGTGAGCAGTGACTGTATTAGTACCAGTCTTTTTTGTTTTTTCTTCAATTATTGAATACTAGCTGACAAACATCAGCAAAAATTATTTCTACATCTGAGGCGTGGGCAGTGCATCCTGATACAAGGTAGCAGGATTCTGTGTCTGGTGCGTCCTATGCATCTGGTACTCGGGTGCCAAGTTGGTTGCATCCTGTGCATCCTAGTGCTTATGCTAGAAAGTACCACATCCAAATTGTATCCTAACTAAGCAAGGCTACCTAGTTACCATCCTGAGATTCCGAGTAATAAATACAGCTGCCAGCCACTCCTCCTTTGCTACCCCTCTGCTACCTACTTCCTTACTTGCTCGCCCTACTCCCTCTGCTGCATTCCAGACTTTGTTGTTTACTTTGCCTGCTTTGCCAAGTTAGCGAGGTTCTGGTGAAGTGCTGAGTTTGACATGGGATTCCTCAGGTGTTCTAGAGACACAGTATTCTATACTCAGCAGCCTGATTCTACTTGACACCAGCTTCCTAACAGTACCTAGGATGTCTACCCAGAATCTATATTGGTGGAGTTACAGCCTGGTATAAAAGTGGTCCTTACCCTGGCAGAGTTCTGGTGGAGTTCTGGAGGGGGGCCAGCTTTGACGACAGATTGCTGGGATATTCTTTGGATGCAGCAACTAATACACGGCGGCCTGATTCTACACGATGCCAGCTTTCTAACAGTACCTTGAACATCTATCCGGTACCAATATTGGTAGAGCTACAGTCTGTTATGAAAGTAGTCATTACCCTGGTAGAGTTCTGGTAGAGTTCTGGTGGAGTGCTGACTTTGACACCAGATTGCCCAGGTATCCTTTAGGTGCAGTATGTTAAGAATCCTACCGGGTAGGACCTAGCGACAGGTAACGATACTTTTCTGTAAAGTGATAGCTCTTAGGCCTATGCCTACGCGATCCCGATAGTCCAGTCCTTTGACTACTATCGTATTCGCGCCTATCTTCTTGTCCTTCTTAGTCCTTGATTAGGACTTAGTCGTTCGACGTGGGAGGAGGAATAGTTTTCTCGCTTGAGAGGAAAGACAATTCTCGGGTTTCTTAAGATAAATCTTAAAGAGCGTAAAGGAAGGTTTTATTGATAATAACTTAAAGGTAGGAAATAAACAAGAAGAACGTGTGAAGAGCTAATACTAGGGGTCCTTAGTGACCCTTTATATAGTAGCTCTTCACCTGGCGTGACTCATACTTATGTGTCACGCAACCCTTGTGACTCATAACTATGAATCACACAAAATCAATCAGCCGACTCTTATGAGTCGCTGCGCAACATGCCTAAACCTAATCAAAACCTTAATAACTATTTCAGGTGCGCAACTCGCATCACCTGAGTGAAACCCATGACTCATAACTTGAGTCATGTGCGAAAATCATAACATCGTGTGACTCACAACTGTGAGTCACCAGTAGGTAAACATAATAACCTATGGCGCACTAGTGTGTGTCATGTGAAATCCCCACATACCTATAGCTTGGAAATCCGAGCTATGTAAA